CCAGTGTAGTTTGAGTTGATCTGAGCATTTTTTTTCACATTCTCTTGCTTTTAGTAAGTCTTCATCATTTGAGGTAGGCCATGTGTATTAGGGAGTGCTCTATGCTCACTAGATAGGAGGTGATCAAATGGGGTGCTGTCATCCTGCCCCCACCATTGCACTCTCTCGCCTGTGGGAAACTGGGGCCATTTCTTTAAAATTGTGAGAAAATGGAACTACTTATGGCACCAGTAAATTTTTTTGTGAGGCAGTTCCTAAAACAAGAGGAGTCTAGACATTTTCACATCAGTAGCAACATTACAGTGTGGGTGTGCGCATGGGTGTGTATACTCATACATATGTTGCTTTTAAATTAAACTCCAATACTTATACAGTATGAGATTCACAACAAGTTGTTCTAGAATTGGTTACCAATGCTATGTATGACATTTGTTATTGCTGCACCAGTCTTCCATGCTTTGGTTAAACTGTGTGAGCGTCATCTTCAACTGTCTCTAACTGTATGATCATGCTTGACCATTCAGAAGGCATGTAAAAACATTTAACTGGAATTTCTCTTTAAGTAAAAAGTTAATTCCCTATACTGCAGTGCTAAGGAATGTCAAGATTTTCTGAAACAGCTGCCTGAGGCCAGGGTTTACTGCAGATACTATGACAGGCAGCAAGTCTCTGCTTTTGAGCATTGTCTAACCAGCCCTTAAATAGAAGGAAGTGAGTACTCAGTCTGTCTAAGGTGAAAGCAGATGGCAGCTTGGTGCTCAACAGAAACCTGTATTCCTCAATCATGGCAGCTTTTTTCTGGTTCTTTCTGCTACTCACTGATGCAGGAGACTTTCTGAAGACGTTCCAGATGGCGTCACAAAAAGACTCTAAATGTGTCCCACCTGTCCCAGATAGTTCATACCATTTAAAACTACACTCTGAGAGTCGAGTGGGAGAGCCTCAGAGAAAGCCCTGTTATATTTTCAGGATATTTATTTGGACTATGTTTTTAAAACTTATTCGGCTGTGTATTCTTATGGAGCATTCTCTGTTCTTTCTGTTGGTGATTCAATGCTAAGAAAATCCACTTGAATAGCATTTTCATTAGCACTTTGTTAGCTTCTGTGCAGCGATTGGTAGCTCTGGGACCTTCTGTAAGTACACTTTACTTGCATTTATACTTGCTTGTGGGGTTCGTACCAGTCCAGATTTGTACAATTCTGGCCTAGTCTGTCTTGGTTTACCTAGGAAAAATTTGAAAGATGCTTAGTAATGATGACAGTGCAGTCCATGGCTGTCACCTGATGTGATCACAAGACAGCTGAGATGGTCACGTTGTCACCTGGTCCATCAAGCCAGGCTGAACTCCTTGTGTCCAGCACACTTATATATACCAGCCAGGGCAGAGGACAGTGGGGTCTATCTTTTGCCACATTGAATTCAAGTTTCTTCTCTCCTTTCTACTATGACAGATTTGAAACTATATACAGTTTCTGGAGATTTTAGAGTTGCCAACCGATGCTGGACTTGAGTCAGCACCCGCCATTTCCCACACAACTCCAGTTTAAAAGCCAAATCTCCCTAAGTCGTTGAATTTCTCCATACATTAACAGTTGTGACCTACCCTCTCTGTTTCCTTTTGTTTCCAAAATGGCTGTGCTCTTGTGTTTAACTTTTTCTTATTGATGAAATCCCTATAGAACAAATGGATAAAATGTGACAGCTATAGCAGTCTCTGGGGACAGTGGCCTTTACTGTGGCTCTTTCTCTGAGCTCTGCAGGGTGTCATGTTGCTTTTTGTAACAAACCCTCAGCTTCTGAATCCCTATGCTGGAAATGATTACATAAATCTGAATGGCCATTTCCAGAGTCTTATGAATCTGGAGAATTCCTTACTCTTTGGAGGAAGAGTTTTACAAAGACTTTTTCTTTGTGGAGAAGGACCTGGCCTTTGTAGCGAGCTTCTGTTGAAAATGTCAGCAGTGTTAGCTTGTGTAGCTTTGTGTTTGAAAAGGAAACATGATGTGTGCTACGCTGTGCTCTAACTCCATGCAGATGTGTGCTAAGAGAACATGATGTGCTCATTTGTTGCATTTATGCTACTCTCTTACTTTAAGTAAGATGGATGAAATTACATATTAAATAAAAACAGCAGCTCCAACAGCAGCCCTTAGCAAATGGAAAAAGCCTTCCAGAGACAGTAGAGAGGGAGATGATGGCTTTAATAACTCATTGACTCGAGAGAACTGTCTGTTTAAAAGCTTGTGCATAATAACTTCTTTGTGGGATTTACTCAGTGCTAACTGTCTAATGTTCAGAAGTGATCTGCCATTAAATTGTGTTGGCGTGGTATTACCCAACACATTGCGTTTTCTGTCTTGGCTAAATATAACAGTAATTTTCTACATGCACTCAGTGGCGTGGACACCTGCGTGATACAAAATTCCACTGAGCAGGAGTAGCTGCATGGCCTTAGCAGCCTGATATTTCTACATTTTAAGGCTGCTGCTGTAATTGAGAATGTGCAACTAGTACAGTGTGCTATGTATTTGTTATGTGTTCATTCTAGACTCCAAGCTCCTTAATGTGTGTACCTTCCTTTTGCACTTTGGAGCTAGGAAGTTCTTTGTGTTGGGCATACTTCTCTCGCTAAAGGGAACTTTAGAATGTAGAGGATACTTTTCTTGTGTTACTGCAAAAGCCATGTCTGATGAGTGGCTCCAGCATGAAGCATCTCCTCCCATCCTGGGCTGCCAAATGTGTCTGAGACCACCAGGCCAGACCCACCCCAGAGCTGACTCTACTTCCTTCCCAGTTTCTCCCCTTTCTGTTGTCTTTTTCTGTGACCTGGTTAACGTTTTAAGAAAGTTTTCAAAATGCAAAAATGACTTTGTTCCATCGTTATTTAAAAATAGGATTGATCAATACAAAGCATTAGCTGAGGCAAACATGGCACTTCCTTATCGATCTCAGTAGTTGTTGCCTGCAGGAAGGCTTCTGTGGAGGTGAAAGGATATATGAACCGCGCTCCCAGGACAAACAGCTGCAGTCGCTAGGAGCAGACTTCCTTTTTATATGGAAGGGATTTTGCAGCCTAGTCCCTCTCAGTGAGATGCATGCACGGACGAACATACAGTACAATCTTACAGCTCAAGTGGCCTGCTGACTGCTGCTCTGGGAAGTTTTTGGCCATAGCTTTACTAATTGCTAGACACTATTCAAGGCTATGTATATCAAAGGCCTACTGATTTTATGCTAATTAACACATGCCAGCTAGTTAACAAATCCACTAATTAGCAAATGGGTACGAGCCAGAGTATGGAGGTATGGAATGTGCTCTACGTGGTAATCAGTTGCACACCAGTAAGGCCAAGTCCATGAGGACCAGAAAAGGCTGTCAGCCGAGAGGAATTATGGAGAAAGTGTATAAGGAAGTTAGTTGTGGGCAGACCCTGCTCTGTCAGTCAGATTCCAGCAACTGCGCCCTGTCACTGGCCCACTGTGCTGTATGCTATCACAAGCACATGCATGCTGTCTCTCCCCTGCTGGAGAAGCCTTAGTCGAAGACTCAGGAGGCAGATCTCCCTGGCCTCCCATTTCGATTATATACATTTTCAAAGAAGGATATAAGCACCACTCTTGTCTTTATTAGATGGTTAGCCAAAGTGTATCCTCAAGAGAACTTATTGGATGCTGGGTAATCTTGTAAAAAAAAAAAATGGCTCTGGAAATGTAGAAGGCTTGCACATTTGAACCCAAGAGATACATAAGTTAAATGAGAGATTATCAGCCCCCAGATATCACTTAAGAGGACTGTTCTGCCTGAGTGTGGTGCCCAGAAAGAATGGGAATGGCCCACAGCCAGTCCTGCACATGGTACCTGCCTGCCATGGGGGCTATAGCCAGAGACAAACCTCCAGCAGTTTGCTTTTCCCTTCCTGGATTCAAGAGGCAATCTCAGAGGAAAGAATGTGAGGGCATTAGTATCACTATCTGTTTGATTACTGTGTTGACATTTTTAAAGTGCCATTAGTCATAGGAAATGTAACTTAATGATGTAGAAAAATACTCAGCCAGAGAATGTCAAGAAAGGGAGCCATGGCCCGGAACTCATATTAAACTGGAGCGAACTGCGTCCTAACCATAATTTGTTGTTTTCTGTTACCATGGTTTTACCTCAGCTCATTAACTGGGCAGCATCTGTGCAAGCAAGGAAGATAGTAAGCAGGGCAAAGGTGAGGTCTAAAGGCAGCATCGCAGCTATGTGGTATACCGAAAGAACATTCAGCTTTAGAGCGTAGCTCTGAGGTTTTACTTGCATTCTTTCGCAATCACTTTTTCTTTCACACCCGTCCCTTTTATACTGTTGTGTTGCCATGGGGCATGTGAACACACCCCACCCCTAACCGCCCTCTGGAATTTACTTTCCTGTTGATTGCTCTGAGCTTTTTAAGGTAATTTCACTTGTGTGTGGTTCTATCCCATTTGTGTCATTGGAACTGGCAGTGTCAGGTCACCCTCCCATCACAGGCCACAGGCATAGATATGCATGTACAGCTAGGATATGGAGTGTGAACAGTGTCAAAGCCAGCAGTGCTTGACACATGCCGAGTTGGACTCTGGTATCATCAATAGATCGTATTTGTCTATTAATCTAAATTTAAATGTTTTCCTACTGAAAATTGCAGGAAAAATGAGATAAATATAGATGGCCTCGTCTAGGAACTACACATGTGACACTGAACTGTCATCAACAGCATACTGTAAAATGTTCCTGGGCCATCTCGGAACAGGTGCCATACTTGGAAAATACCACAAGAGCCTAAATCCACCTTCTCCTCTTGCCTACATGCCATTTAGCTAAATCTTACCACAGCAAGGGTGTACCGTAGACTCTCAGGAAAAACCGACTGATGTATAATGTCCTGGGGTAAGAGAATTGAAGGGAATGTAACCTGTGTAAGGAAATATAGAAGGTAATATCACTGATAAATGTTGGGCTTTTCTTCCCACTGAAGGTTTTTATCATTCATTGGGGGGACACTGTGTGAGATTGGAAAGCCTGAAATGCAACAGAAAATAAATTTATCTCTTGGGAAAGAAGGCATAGAGAAAACTGCTGAAAGATTACAGACAACTGCACACACCCTGCAGGTCATCATAGATGGTCTGAGCCAGCCCAAAACCTTTGACATCCGAACAGGTGAGTTGTCTCCCTTGTCTTCAGGAAGCTCCCATCAATTTGGTCTTCACAACAGGAGAGGGCCAAGCGTTGATCCTCCTCAGTCACTCAGATTTCTGTCTGGAGTCAAAGCTAAAAGCATGGCTTCAGACTCCTTGTTCATGTTGCTTTGCTGGTGCACTAGGCTGGACACATGTCATGTGCTGTGTTTCTGTGTTCATGGAGGCATACTGTCCCTGAGTCTCCTGTAAACTGTCTTTATGTCTGAAGAGCCAGAAGGTAAAGTTTTCCACTCACACCAAAAAGTGAATCTTCTTCCTAAAGTACAGCCTTCCAGGTTTCTGGATTCCACTTCGCTGAGCACATTGAACAAATAAGATGATATCTCTGTGTTGATTGTCTATCTGATTTAGAGTGTTCTCAGCTTTCTGTGCAGGGAGAGGGTAAAGGAAGGGTAATAGCCTAGTTGTTGAGAGCAGTGACCCACTGAGACAGAACTGCAGCTGGAGAAAATAAAACACTGAGGAAGAGCAGTCCCTCCCCATTGTCCTCAGGTAAAAGTGGCTGTTCCTACAGATAGAACTACGGAGAAGCCTGCTTCTCTCCTTGTGGATTCCATGGCTGTCTTTTGGGGGACACTAAGATCAGTGTGTCTCATGAGGGGTGGTATTGGTATTTTGCCTATGCACTCACTGGATGGTTGACAAAGTCACTTGAGCTACAGGTGCCCCAGACTGTATTTTCCTGTCCATCTTTATTTTTCTATCAAGGTGTTAATTGCTCTTTTATCTGTTACATGAGGGACTCAAAGAAAGGCAAACACTCAGTTAACCCCAGCTAAGCAGAGGAGCCTCTTATTGAGCAGAATTCGGATGGGCCTGGACGTTCCAGTGTGACACATGCAGTTTCAAACAGGTCTCTCTAAGCAAACGGTCAGCTAATCTCTGCCCTAGTTAAGTCACATCACATTTCCCAGGGAGAGGCAGATGGATTTGGAGGTGGGGGTGGTGGACAGTATTTTGGGTATTCCCATGTTACAGAATTTGTAATGCATCTCTTTTCTCCTTTTCTCAAAAGTGTTTCCTGGCTTGTGGCCTCATTCTTTCCTTAGACTCATCTGGCTTCTGTTCTTTGGTGACATTGTTCCTTTTGTTAAAACTCTCCTTGCAAGTTAGTTTCCTTAATTTAGAGCAGGCTGGTGCAGTGGCCTAACTGTGCTGCCTTGGCTCTTGATGTATTAAAATTTACGTAGTTCATTGAGGATTGGCTGTCTTGGGAACATGCTGAGTGGTTCCTGACTCAGGTTTTCATGCAAAGCTAAACTGAGCAACTGATCAGAACTCCATGGGTTTTGCAGCCACTGGATTTCTGCAAGGAAAGACGGGAGACATTTCCAAGCATGAAACCGCCTTACTGGCCGGGGGATTAGCTCGCCTCTGCCCTGGGCACCTTAGTTTCATTTTGTGTTGACTTGATCTCAGCCTGTGTGGTTCAAATTACCAGAAGTTCCTGCTTTGGAATTTAGTATCAGGTGAAATCCCAGAGTTCATTCCTATGTTAGTGTGTTTAATGAGGACAGTGAGGTTTAGGGTCTGTGGAATTTTGTCTTGTTTTACAGGAGCTGAGGAAGTTCAATTTCTAAAATGATCCTGGGTTTAAGGTGATTTGATTTGGAAGGGAAAGAAGGAGGTGAGCAGTTGTTAATACAAATGTAAAGGATAGGTCCAGCAAGTAATCAGGGTAAAGCCAACGGCTGTGGAGGAAAAGGAAATGGGTTGGAGGGGGGGGGAGCAGGGGCAAGGACTAAGTAAAGGAGAGCCAAGCTAGAATGTGTTGTTTGTTACTAGAGTCAACACTCAGTGATCCTAGGGAAGAGAGTGGAGCTATAGAGGTAAATGCAGGCCGTGGGGAACTCACAGGTCCCACTTAAACTAATTGTCTCACTGTCTCAAACCTTTGTTGTATTATGTTATCTGGAGCCAAGTGGTACTTAGCCTGCTTTGTGCTCACTTTTTAGGGGCTAGTGTCAGTGAACAGAGATATGTGTGCTGACATGGCCCAGGAAAGGCTGTAAAGAGCCTAAGGCAGGGACCTAGGGTCTTCATCTTTGTGTATCTGGCATACAGCAGAGCACTGGTCACAAGGTAATGACAGTAAACAGTCAATCAGCTGAACTAGAGGAAGAGAGAGGCTAACTCTGGCTGACTCTGGCTGGTGTGCAGTTCTGAGCCACAGGTAATCGAGAGCCTATAGATTCTGATTGAATAAATGTGTTTGAAATAGAAAGAATTGATTTCTGAATTCCCACTAAAGTAAAGAGAGAGCATTTGACTTCACTCACATTTGTCCAAAAGCTAGTGGAGTGTTGACCACCTTGAAACAATTCTAGAATCCAGGCACAGAACGCCAACTCCCCCTCTCGTGTTTCCAGGGCTCTCACATCCTGAGCATTTGTGATTTAGTCTGCTGTGGTCACTGAGCAGAGATAGATTCTGACTGTCCTTTACAGGAAAGATAGTGAGCCAGCCGTCCAGATCCTCCCAAGCAGGACTTACAGCCTCATTAGTGAGACTGAGTTTAGGGAAAAGAAAATGTTTGAGAAACTTTTCTTGAATTGTCTGTGGGAAGTCTTTCTCCCAGAATGTATTTTTTCTCACGAGAGGTCTGTGTCCTTAGCTTTTTTATCTCTTCCCCCAAAGAACATTATTGATCTGGGCATCCATATCAGTCAAAACACAGTGAACATTAGCCTTCTAGGTACAGTGCCTTCTTGGTTACACTAACATTTATTCTCTTTCCTCACAGATTTTGATAAGCCTGACTTCAAGCGAAGCATAGTTTGTCTGGAAGATCTGCAGGTTGGGACAGTTCTTACAGGCAAAGTGGAGAATGCCACCCTGTTTGGAGTTTTCGTGGATATAGGCGTGGGAAAGGCAGGGCTGATTCCTATCCGGTTCATAACAGAAGCAAAGCTATCTAAAACAAAGAGGAGAAGGAGCCTAGGCCTCGGCCCTGGAGAAAAAGTGGAGGTGAAAGTCCTCAGCGTTGACATTCCCCGATCTAGGATTTCTCTCGACCTTCTCCGGGTATTGTGAGTGTCCCACTGAAGGCCAAATACCAAGGCACTCCCTCATTTCTCCAGCCTGAGGAAGATGAGCCAGAGCTCATGGAACCTAGAGAGCAAATGAGAGGGGCTCCTGGATAGAAGTATTTATCACACTATCCTGACTTCTACAAAGACCAGTGGACGTCCTCACCGGCGTCCTACAGCAGCAGTCTCTGTCTTCATAATTCCTCATTGGTCACACTCTCTACAGCAGGTGGCTTCACATTCTCCTGCTAACGTCTGCTGCCTTAGACTTGGGTGGGTTGTCTTGCTTATTAGAAATGTGTGGTGTTGATTGACACATTAAAACTAGTGGTCTTTAATGCTGCCATTTTATTGAGGTATTATTAGCATTTTTGCTCATAATTTATACTTTTGGAATAATCTTTATTTTCCTTAGCAAACCAAGTAAAAATATACTAGTAAAAGATTATCATGTATTTATGACCCATCAACTGAATCATTTCAGTGTGTTCCTCAGAACATGTGTGTTGACCTCTACAATAAATGACTGGCTGGTGACTTTGGTGTGCTGTATTCATTGAGTGAATGCTAGAAGCCACACTGAATTAAAGATGGGATTTGTAGATCTGTGCCTTGGGGAAGACAAGAGATTCTGGACATTTCAAGAATGACTTTAATTGTCATAATTTATTACAGAGCCCATATTCTTATTTAGCAATCATTCAAGAGCAGTGACAGCAGTGACCCCGACTCTGTTCTTGTTCGGTGGAGAAGGTAAGTGCTGCATGGCAGCTCAGGGTCAGATGAGGTGAGCAGAGTCCACACCGATCACTGATGCTACAGTGACTCACTTGTGTGAACACAGACTTGACGGTCTGGGTGATGTGTGGAGGACAGATATAAAGTGTGGTCAGCCCTATTTCTTTGTCTTGGACAATTCCTTAATTTGTAAGTAAGCAACCGTTACCCTTGAAGGCTTTTCAGTGCTGCTGCTGCTGCTTGTCCTCAGGATGCCTGATTTGGGATCATATAATCACCCACTGGGAGTTGTTGTCAGGAAGTAGTGTACATGTGGTACACACCAGTTCCTCCTGGTGGCTACCTATTCTCAAAACACTTGGTCTGTTTAGTGTACTTAGGTGTCTTTGAAGTCCCTTTCATTCCTGTCAGCTTTTTCTGCTTTTTACTGGTCTTTACCTGACAATGAATGCTAGTGTGTTTTCAGTTGTTTTTTTCTACTCATTCTTGCCAAGGCTTTCTTTTTTTCTTTTTTTTTTAAATAATTTATTTATTTCTTTTTTTTTTTTTGAACATGAAATGCTTTTTTTTAGCATGTTTTACAAGGGGAGGGGGTAAGAGGGGCCAGGTGGTGGAAAAGTACAAAATCTTCTTGGCCTGTGCCTTGAAACATGTCATGGTCTATACGGTACACTGCCTTGAATTATGATCTACCTGCTGTTCTTCAGAAGATATGGTACACTGCTTGAGTTATGGTCTCCCTGCTATTCTTAAGAAGACATGGTACTATGCTTTGAGTCTATCTGCAGTTGCTAAGCAGGATCTTTGCCAAGGCTTTCTGGTTCATAGTGTGTAGATGAATGCTAATTGATGACCTGAGGTGCTCCCAGGAGTGCTCCCCCTCCTGGTCACTTTGGATGAAGGAGCCAGAGCAGCTCTGGCTTTTTTTCTCTCAGAAAAAGCATGGTAGAGGGGGCGCAAAAATCAAGATTCTGGCTATATTTGGAAGTAAGCAAAAATGGTTCCAAGGCTTCTGTCCTAAGTAACTGAAGCGTAAAACTGACATCTACTGAGATGGACAACCATGAGAGGCGCAGTAAGGAATTCATTTAAGACAGGTGAAATTCCAGGTGTTCAGTAGAGTACATCCAAGGAGACATGCTAGGTTAGGTAGTAGTATCTTGGCTTCTTTCCCTGTTGCTGTGATAAAAATACTCCAATAAAAGTGACTTAAGGGGAAAAGGATGTATTGTACCCACATCCAGGTTATAGTCCATCATGGCATGGCCAAGAAGTCGCAGTGGTAGGAAATGGAGAGAACTGGTCACATTACATCCACAGTCAGGAGCACAGTCAATGCATGCATGCTATCTCAACTCTCCATCCTTCATGTTGTCCAGGACTCAGAGCCTAAGGAAGGATGCTGCCTACACTGACAAGACCCCACATCCTTTAACATAGTTAAGAACATGTGGCAGACCTGTCTATAGGCCAGCCTAAGCTACACAGTCTCTCAGAGATGCTTCCCTGGCAATTCTAGATTGGTTCACATGAACAATTAAAACTGACCATCACAGGCAGTTAACTGTTTTAGACTAAAGATCACTGTTTTAGACTAAAGATCAGGGGAGAACTCTGGAAAAGCCTGTAACTAGTTATAGTTGCGAGACTAAAAAAAAAAAAAAAAAAAAAACTACTAGTGAAATGGGTGAGCATAAAACAAAAACAAAAAAATAGAAACCCATGGCAGACAATCCTAAACCCTAATCTCTCCAGGAGACTGGAATTGATTTCTTGCTAAGAGAAAGCTAATTGAAGGGACAAGAGCGTAGCTAATGAGCTGGTCTGAGCTGTCGGTGTAGGCAGAGTCCACCCGCTGAGCAGCTTCTAGGAAAGGTAGAGGGGTGAATAGGTCAGGCGCCAGCGCCAGCCTCACCACCTAGATTGTCTTGTCCTTGCTGTCTCCTGCTTGTAGTGGCTGTGCTGTCTGCAGGGCAGTGGCAAGAGCTCAGTGAGAAGTCCTGGATTTATCCTGCTGTTGTGGAGGGTCCAAAGTAGCCTGCACTACCTCGTTTGGACTGCACAGCATGTAAGAAAAAAATCATTTCTTTAAACTGAGGATAAAGTGCATTCCCCACTGCATGTCACTGTTCCCAGCTGTATCCTTTTCATGAAGAAAATTGCCCCACATATAGTAGATGTTCGATAAACATCTGAACTGTAGAATGAATTAGGCAATACAGAGGCATATAGATTTCCGTTTTTTAGAATACACTGTAAAATGTTAAATATTCAACAAACAATATAAAAGATGAAAAATTATAAAACTTTACTACTGAATATTTTAAAATATCTTTTTTTAAACTATCTTTAAAAAAAAAAAAAAGAGCAGCTACTTTAAGGTTTACTAGGTCCCTGAGAGGTAAGCATTACATTGTAAAAACACCAGCTCTGGGCTAAGAGACAGCTCGGCGATTAAGAGTACTCGCTGCTCTGACAGAGGACCAGGGGTCTAATTCTTGGACCCCAGTAGTGACATACAAGCTTCAGTAGCTCTAGCTGCAGAGGTCTACTGTTTTCTTCTAGCCTCTGTAGGTAATGGGCACACAGTACAGATATACATACAGACACAGCGCCCATACACATAAATAGTTTTTAAATTAGAAACGCCAGTGCTTCAAAAATAGCACACATACAAAAGTAGGCTATAGACACATTTTCCAAAATTCCAAATAGATTTTTTCTGTTTGTTATTTGTTTAGTCACTTTAAAGATTATGTGAAAAACAAAATAGTTCTTTAAAGGAATGGTAAAGCTGGAAGTGTGGAGGGAAATATCTAATATTTAAGTATATTGTAAAGCTCCTTTCATTTAAACTGTGGGGCTGGACAAACAGGACAAAATAAATCAACTTAATATTAATGAAATCTGTGTATGTTAACAGTGGTATTTTGAATTGGGACAAAATTATATTGTCATATAACACATAAATTCTAGATGGATATACATGAATAAAATTACTTTTAAAGGTTACAAGCAACTAGAGAAGGGCTCGGAGAAATGTTTGAATAGCTTTGTGGAATGCTAGAAAAACCATGAGAATGCATGGATCTATGAATGTCGAAATTCTAATCAGAAGGCCATTCCCCAGGCAGTTGTGATAGGTCCCTGTGCCAGGTGCCAGAAGCCATGGATGGAGGAGGAATTATTGGAGTTTGTCTCCAGCACTGTGGGCCTGGAACTTAAGCATCATCCAAAGATGCACCAGGTTCAATGCCGTGCATGGTCCTGAAGAATATTGGTATAATCTCATCATGCTGGAAAACCACAGCCTTTAGAAAGCTCAGCTCTGGATTAATAGGGTACTCAGGTCAGAGCAGGAAGGTCTGTATTTCTAACTCTGACCCCAGAGTTAGCACTTGTGTTAAAGCTGGAAATGGCAAGAAGGGACAGGATGGGAAAACCAGAGGTAAATTTAGTCTCTTCACTTTGGCCTCCTGCCTAAAGTCGGTCATAATTATGAGGTGGGTTTTATTAACAGATGAGAGAACTCCTGAATGACTGGGCTCCCTGCCAACACTGTCTGTCCACAGGAAGAAAGATGGGATTTCTTCTCACTTGTCTTACAGGGTGAGGATGGTTCACACAGACTGGGTTTCCTGTTTAGGTGAGAGGCTGGGCAGACTCCACTTCTAACAGCACTGACTATACTACTTTTCAGAAGTTAAGAATTACCCCCAGAAAAGATGTGCTTCCCTTGCTTTGAAAACCATGATACCCACCCCTCAAATATCTTAGAAGAATTCTCATACTAAAGTAAGGGAAGTATTCATCTAAATGTCACAGAGCCGTGCCAGCAAGCTTCTCATAGCAGAATGGTCAGTGTTCAATGTAACCAGCAGGCCTGGGATACTGTGTGGACCAGGACAGTCTAAAGCTGAAGAGACAATGATGGTAGCTGAGGAGATGGGGGCAAGGTACATATGTGATGACTTTGTGTCATTGGATAACCAACATTTGAGAAGCCTGTTTCATCCAAGCAATTAGGCAGACAACAATTCTGGAATTATTGTGGTATCTTACAAAGCATCCAAGTAATACGTGTGTGCCTGATGCTTAGTAAGCGCTGTCACTCTGGACAAAACTTCCTACCCTTACAGCAAGGAGGGAAACTGACAAAGCAGCCTGCGTTTGGATAGCTCTGCGACCCAGTGGCTCTCCTTGGATCACATGACATGCATGTCCCAGGTTCAGGATTGAAGAAGGTGGCACCAGAGAAAAAAGTGTTCTCAGATTAATTGCTTCAAACTGCCAAGGGATTCACCAGAACACAAAATGCCCATTTGGTCAAGTTTGTGTAATTTGATCCTTTAATGACTTAAGTGACTGGATTCTTAGGTGGACTATCATTTTATCTGACACAAACCTGAAGTTCTTGGGGGCCATTTTATCATAATTTTATGACCTGTTTTCCTGACTAAAAAAAGACACATACAGTGCTATAAAATGTGCAAATAATGAGATTAAGACATCCACAATGTAAAAAAAGGTAGCTACTTTCACAGTTTATATACTTCCCAATTTTAATAAATTGGGGTCTTAACTTAGTTTTGCTAAACTGGGGTTATTTCTACTGACCTGCTTTTTCCTCTATAAAATGTATAGTATGAATGATATTTTCATATCAACACCTACATATCTGCCTTATCATGGATCCTGGCTGGAGTCTAAGAAATCCCTGGCAGGATAGTTGTTCTCCTAAATTGTGGCACCGTTTTAGAAGGTCGTGGGGCCTTAGGAGGTGGGACCTATGTGGCAGA